CCTGTTACACATGTAGCAACCCAGATCACTGAACATATTCCGACAATGACTCGGAGCAATCACGGTACACACGGAATCCACTTCCCAGAAAATTGTAGAAAACTAACCCGAGATCCAACTCACCATAATTCCCCAAGTGATAGAGATACCCAGTATCCATCGGAAATGGCCAAAGATAGCATATCCATGACCATCTGAAGGGTTCTTGACCACCTCCTCCTATAGTAACCCGACCACCCTAAGAACATAATGTAGCACCTCCCTCCGATCCCAATGACAGTCCAAACCCTTGGATCAAAACTTCATCGTATAGTTTCTACAAGCGTTGCATTAGATCCGACCCTGTTGGCCTCTCAAAAGCTTATCCAAACTCTTGGGTCTCCGCTCGAGACCCTCCGATAATTCGCCTGACCAGAACCTCTCTCATGAGGTACTCTTAATCAATCTTCTGTCCTCGACTCTGAGGTCCACATCATTTAGGGTCTCACACCCTGATCAACTTACTAGCTCAATTGTCAAGACTATACTGCAATAGCTGGAGCAATCTCTTCTCTAAACCGGGCTACAAACTATCCCTGAAACTTGGTCTCCAAACCCGAATGTGAAATAGATCTCACAATCAACCCTTGCCGCCTGATACAAGAGATCAAAGGCAAACTCGAAATCCTGGCAATCATTCCACTAACTGGCTCACCACTGGAGTTGGGACTATACCCTGGGCATACTCATGCGCACCCATCCTCATTCTGCGAAGCAGCTATTCCCATGCTCAAGGCATAACTAAGAGTTCTCCTTCCCATAAGCTTCTTTGATTCTCCAAGACTCTCACTGATTCGAGTATGGATCCTATGATTTCAGTAGTACGGGCCCAATACTACCTTCTACACCTATTCATACTTTCCTCAACAATCCTTCTGAGTCCCGTGAGTCACATACTCCACCAATATACTAAATATTTGCTAAACAACACGACGATCTCTACCGTAGCACCTCCTAGGCTCCCCCTAGGTTCCCAACTCCACTAAATCACCCCACTAAGCTCACTGGAGCATACCCTAGGCTTTCCTAGGTTCTTGCACTAACCCAGTCCTCAGTTGCTGAAAGATTCGCAGTAATATCAACTAGCTACCTCATGAATATAGCCACATGCAACAAATATCAGATAATCCTTAGAGTAATAGACTAATCCCTAGAACGGTTAGACTCCAAAGAGAGCTACACAATAGGGTCAAGTCTATCACTCTGAGATTATCCAGCCTGTGTCACATGTGACTTAGCATGTTCACTTAATAACTAGCTCACATTACTAAGATTCCCTCAAAGCACAAAGCAAGCAACAATCAAACAATGGAAAATCTAACCAACATATACTAGACAAATCAGTCTATCCACACATACATCCCGCAAGCAAGTAACACATGTCGCTAACCTCATCCTAGGCTTACCCTAGGGTAATCTTCGACCTGCAAACTATCATAGAACATTCGGACCATATACCATAACCCATGCTGATCATATCCACCCTTGTTGTCGACTGCCTTATGCATGCAAATTATACACAGAACATGATCTAATAAACTGTCGAATAATAAACTCTACCGTAACACCGCAGGAAATAACGCCAAGTCAATCATTCTAAGGCTATAAGATCATAATCGTACATAATTTTCAAAACATACACATTGCAGTTACAAATACCAATTATCATTCTCATTCCAGCATGACATCCAATATCATAAAATAATATTTACCAAAGCATTTCATAAAGAAATGTATTTTCATTATATAATCAAAACTTGGGATGTCATGTTCCTATACAAACATAAAAGCATACACAACAAAAGATAGACCATACAACAGTTACATATAACAACTGGTCTAATAAAAAAAATAACTTGATGATTCATCCATCTTATGTCCTCGCGCCACTACCTTTAATACAAATAAACTGAGTGGGTCATGCTTGGGAGCCTGGTAAGCATATAGGGTTTTCAACCCGCAACAAATAATTATATTTAATTTTACCAACCAACAATAACCCGATTACCCATTCCCATTATCCTCACTTTACGTCCCTAAAACAACATCTATCTCAAGGGACCTAATCTAGGATTTTCATTGGGACGAACATTACTGCTAAGTGATTTCCTCAACAATAGATGTCCTAAAGGAAACCATGAGGGGGATAGAGTACACCGGTGAACACATCGTTCACAACACCAACAGGTTATGAGCCTGCTAGCATTCCATAGGACTGTCTAGAAAGAGTATGTGGTCATTATGCATACTCCGCTGAATAACTGGATCAACAACAACAACATCGAGGCCTCTCATCTGTTTATCACACATCAACTATCTTCCCATGTTCTACCTAACATATTAGTAGATAAAAATATATATTTTTTTACATAGTTTAAAACATGTATATCATTCTCATTCAATACATATTCCAAACAACAGATGAGATACATACACATAACACGTGTATCATAGAGAATAAATCATATCTATGAGATAGAAGAAAGTGAATATACATTCACATATAAAACCAAAATATACACATAACATGTATTTTATATAAAATACTTCATAATTATGCGTTAGAAGAAAATAACTACACACTCACTTGATCAGAAGATGATCGGACAAGTAGTATTCTTCAGTGAAATTGGGATCACTTCACACACCGGGCTTCTCGCGGGCAGAGCTTCGGATCGGAAACTCTTTTCTTCTCGGGATCTTCAGGCTTCGAGACTTAGTTCGAGTCTCGGGATGATACCGGGGCTTCGGGGGTACTTCTTTGCATGTAAATCGAGGTAGTATAGGTGAGAGAAAGGTGAATTAGCAACCTTGGCCGGCTACCCCTTCAAATCAATTTATAGGGAAAATTTCTCATTTTCCACGTCATGGGCAATTCTTCCATGTTGTAGGATTGGTCGTCACTGCATGTGTCATCGTCCACTTGCTCTGTCAGGCTCCAGAAGGTGTCAGAAGCCATGCCATGTCTTGGGCACTGTTTCCACATTGTGGTCTCTGATAGTTTTGAGGTTTCGCGCCCCGAACTTTAGAAATTCATAACTTTCGCATACGAACTCCGTTTTCGACATTTTTTATATCGACGCATAGATAAAAACAAGATCTAAAACTTTCATTTAGACTCCGTCGGCTAATTTTGAATTTATTTTTATTATATTATTTTTATATTATTTATAGTAGGTCAGGACATGAAAACTCCGTTAGAAATTCATAACACCTTCATCTGACGTCCGTTTTCGTCTGTCATTCCATTGTTGCACTACTATCGATGAGATCTTAGATTCTCATTTACAAAGTTTTGGCTAAATATCGCTTGATCCCATATTCGAACTTCGGGCTGTACACTACTATGTCGAAACTTCGAAAAATCATAACTTCCTCATACGAAATCAGATTTAGACGTTCCTTTTTTGTATGCTCTCGGTTTAACATATTCTATGACTTTCATTCAGATTACTAAGGCTAGATATCACTCTATATAAAATTCGTATTTTACGTCATACAGTGTCGTGTCGGTTCTGTCGCGAAACTTCGACAGATCATAACTTTTTCGTTATAACTCGGATTTCGTCATTCTTTATATATTCGGAAACCTCGTCACGACCACTAAGTTTTCGTGTATCAATATTGGGTTTGTCTAAAATTTCATGTACACGCTTATTTTTATTGTTAACTCATTTAAGTCCCACAATTACGCAATTAAGAATAAAACACATAATACTCAAATAATACATTCTTATTATTTCAAAATGGGTTACAAAGGTCAACCTAGACATTCATATCATCATTAAGGCCTTGCTTAGAAACATGGACGTTACAAGCAGGTTGGGTAATGGCCGAGGGCATCATTCCTGAGGTGGCATAATGTAAGTTTTGTCTGGTCCGGTAGCTATATGTGATATTTTCAGCCCACTGTGCTCAAAGCCCTCAATTTCATATCTGACTGACTTGGACAATGGTCTAGGGCATCATTCCTGAGGTACATTCTCTCTTTCTCTCACTCACTCTCTCTCTCTCTCAAACCATAATCACCCTTCTGGTTTTCTGAACCAGGTTCATCCGTTCTTGCCTCCGCTCCTATCTTTGGTGATGTAAGTATCTACACACATGATTACATCTAATGGTCCAACTTGGAAAAATAACGGTGGCAGCTGAAGTGGGTTGTCATGGCGAAGGTTCAGGATGTTCAAAGTTTTTGCCTTGGGAAAACCCATGAGTTTGTCCTTTCTTTTGATATAACAAATCTTTATATAAATCAAGAAACTTGATTCTTGATTCTTGATTCTAGGTGACATTCAGTGCGACATCACTTGCACTAGAGGTTCAGGATGTTATCCCTTACGGACTTGTCAGAGAGACTCCATATCTAACTCATTTGGTTTTCAACACATATGACACTTTTTTCAAAACTTAGTCACTTTTTTAACATGTAAAAGGCTTTTCCCTGCTTCTTTATTTATTTATTTATTTTAGTTATCATACGGAGCATGAGCTACTAAGATACATTAGTAAGCTGCAGTCAAAGGATCTGTCATTATACCACAGTATGATTCCTCTAGGATCTTGCACCATGACGCTTAATGCAACTACAAAGATGATGCTTGTGACATGGCCAACCTTTGCAAATATGCATCCTTTTCCTCGTATCTAACAGGCACAGGGGTATCATGTAATCAAATCTTTCTAATTTTAACTAATAATTCCAAATTATATTTTTGTTGACTTTTTTTAATGTGAGAGCAACATAAAAAATATATATATTGCAAAAAATGTTCAAGAATTTGGGGGACATACTGTGTACCATAACCGAATTTGACTCTTTCTCTTTACAACCAAATGCTAGAGATGCTGGAGATTATGCTTGGCTGATGATTATCCGAGCTTATCATATGGTATGCTAAATTATACCCTTTTATATAATCATATATATAAAGTCAAACTCATTGACTTTGGTTAATTATACACGAGAGGAGATCATCATCGCAATGTATGCATCATCGCTGTATCTGTAAATGGAACAAATCCTGCAAGTGCTGCTATGTGTGGAATGAAAATCATTAATGTGGGAACTAACTCCAAATGTAATATCAATATTGAAGAGGTACGCAAGGCTGCTGAAGCAAACAAGGAGTATCTATCTATGGTAAGCAATTTTTTTTATCAAAATATAAAATAATATATATATATATATATATATATATATATATATATATATATATATATAATAAACAAAAGATTAATAACTAAGTAAATTCTATTTTTTTTAGGTTACCTATCCTTCTACTCATGGAGTTTATGAGGAGGGTATTGATGAGAATTGCAAGATTATTCATCACAATGGAGGTCAAGTTTACATGGATGGAGCTAACATGAATGCACAGGTACATAAACATTACACTTCTTGTTTCGTTTTAATGGAGCTAACAAAATTGAAACATCATATAAAAATTATTTGGTTTTAATTTTTACAGGTTGGATTAACAAGTCTAGGGTGGATTGGGGCTGATTTTTGTCATCTAAACCTTCACAAGACATTTTACATTCCACATGGTGGTGGTGGGCTCAGAACGGGCCCCATTTGTGTGAAGAAACACTTAGCACCCTACTTTCCTTCACATCCTATGGTAAGACAAAACAATAATTTTTTTAGTTTGATGTCTATGTGTAATTAGAGTAATATGTTGTCGATTTTATATAATTTAATTTGTAAATCTTAATTTAAAGGTTGCAACTTGAGGCATACCAACCCCTGAGCAGAGTAAGCCACTTGGCACGATTTCAGCAGCACCTTGGGGTTCAACACTTATCTTTCTTATATCATATACATACATTGCCATGATGGGATCTCAAGGACTTAACAATGCATCCAAGATAGCTATCTTGAATGCAAACTATATGGAAAAACGTCTTGAGGTCTCAATTTCTTTCTTTCCCTATTCATTAAGAATAAATATATAATATTTTTTAAGTTATTATTATGATAAAGTTCTCAATTTTTTTCCTTTGGGATTAATTACATTACAGAGTCACTATCCCATTCTTTTCCATGGTGTGAATCGAACAGTTGCCCATGAGTTCAGACGAGTGCTGGAGTAGAGCGAAAAGATGTTGCAAAACGTCTGATTGATTACGGGTTTCATGGTCCAGCTATGTCATGGCCAGTTCCAGGAATACTCATAATTGAACCCACTGAAAGTGAAAGAAATGTATTATTTTTTTTAAAAAAAGAGTAAAGTTTCTTTAAAAGTTATAATGTTTTTTCCTTTCCTTTCATTTTTTATAACGTCACATGTTGAATTTTTGAGTTGTAGGCTGAGTTGGACAGGTTTTGTGATGCTTTGATCTCCATTAGACAAGAAATAGCAAAATTTAGAAAGGAACAGTGGACATAAACAACAATGTGTGCATTAAGTAAGTGTTACAATGGTAACATTGTAATAAAAAGCTTAGATTCAAAATTAAAAGTTTAACAATCAAGATTTCAAGAACATAATGATGGAAGTTCTCTCGTCTGCAATGAATAAAAAGATAGGATGCCTAGAGATATGAAAAGATCATGTGAAAAGAACAGACAAACCAGCTAAATTGAAATTTACCACTGTGCAAGAGTTGACAAGAACATAATCTGTGCATGAGGAATCTTTAGATTTACAATCAAAAGGTAAATAATCTAGATTTCAAGTATTTCAGCACTTTGATAATTATCACATTGCTATGTTTCACATTTAACCCTGTTTTCTAATATTTTTTTGGGTGAACATGTGATTCCTCAAATTTTAACAGATTCATGAATTGTGACTCACCCCTGCAACTTTCTAAATGCAGGCTTATTTTCGTGCTGGATTAAGTGGAGGTTTCTTGACTCTATCTTTAGCTGCTTTAATGATTCCTAATTTAATGGCACTTATGTGTTGCATGGATAAAACAGTAAGTGATGTTTGGATATGAGTAAATGACCGTTTTACCCTTGTATATATACTCATACTATCATTTTCATGTCAGAGTATTTTGACCAAAATTGGCCTTTACAACACCATGATGATGTTAATATTTGGTTGGGCATGTTGCTTTTGTGTTTCCCTTTTCTATTATTTCCAATTACATGTACAGAAGCAGGGGTGAGTCATCAAAAATCTCGACACAACACCATGTGAACGCACACACACAAATTAACCAATCTATTTCTTTCCTATTTTAAAATTTCATTTATCTAACCACAATTTAAAATTTTAATTAGTTGGTAATTTGGCGGGCTGGTGTAACTAGGAGTTTTCTCTGTTGCATTTGCATTCAAACAAGTCTATTTATTTAAACCATTTATTTTAATTTCGTCATGTTTAATCAATTAATTAAAAATTTGTCATGTCACCACCTTCGCCTGTTGTTATCCCTAGATACATGTTATGAAATGCTACTCCAATCATTTGTTGGTGTGATTGTTTTTTTAACATATTAGGAATATCTGATAACATTATTATTTTGAGTTTGACCCATTCAGAAAAAATATTTGAATTTGTCTTTGTTTAGACCCCTTACTTATATTGCTTGTGTCCCGCCCTTGATTTAAATTGAGAAAAATTTACAAAAGATAATCAAACTTTTAAAAGGATTAACATTGTAGTTAAGTAAGTAGTTTTTATGTTTATTTATAACCTTTTTGTCTTCTGTTAGGTACCTATCATTCGGTAAATATAAGCGAAATCAATTGATAACTCAAGAGCTAATTGTTGATTGCTTATCAGTGTGCAGGTATAGTAATTTTATTTGGCAATTAAGTTGTTATTTTGTATCTATAGTACATACTTATGTGTCTTTTCAAGGTCTTTTAATTATTTTTTGGTCTAAATGAAGAACATATAGAGAATTGGTGTTGATTTGATACTATTTAAAGATGATTAGGTGATTCAATTAGCTTTTGGACATATTTGCCCATGGCGCTGGTGGAAACTAGCTTGTTGTTGTTGAAGATTAATGTGTTGCGTCTTGGGCCCTTCTGTTTTACAACCGGATTGGACTTGTCAATCCATGTTTATCTAGATTAGCCCTTTTTCTTTGACAAACGGTTAGGGTTTTATTATAAATATATGTATGCATGTATGCGTATAAAAAGGTGTGGTCGTCATTCTCATTGATTATTGTAAACCCTAAAATCCTCTACAGTTGATGTTCTTTATCGAGCTCTTCTGAGGATTGTTTATTAATCTTTCGACACCTTTTGATCCATTTGCTTGTTCTTATTGTTTATCTGGTTATTTCTCTACCTGTTTCATAGATCTAATCGATCTTCAAGTTTATTTTAAAATTTATCAATTGGTATCAGAGCAGGAGGCTGTGTAATCGATACACTTCTTTTCTGTGAAAAAGCTTCGATTAGGGTTATTCCGCATTCATTGATATTTATTGAGCCGTCATCTCATAATTGACGTATCTCGATATATATTGTTTTTGCCCTAATTTGATATATTACAAGTCTGATCTTTGAACAGGTTATTCGATCAATTATGGACGAGTCACAATCCAATCCCATCAATATTTCAAACAGCATTGGATCAACAACGAAGATTCCCATCCTGTACACCCATGAGTATGAAGTCTGGGCGAATCACTTTGAAGATTATGTCATAGGACTGAGGATAATGGATACCTCATCTGGGAAGCAATCATCTCTGGACCTTTTTCTCATTCAGCAACTTCAAGGATTATTAAAACTCAAAAGGAGTATAACGATCTTCTGAAAGATGTTAAAGATGTAGCGCAAGACGAAAAAGTTAAATTTCAGTGCAATATCAAAGCGTTAAGATTGATCAGATTTGCTCTTCAATCCGATACTTTTAGGCTGGTAAGTTCATGCACGACTGCAAAAGAGATATGGGACAGGCTACGTGAACTGTACTCTACAGACGAAGATCTTGAACACTCCATTCAAACCTTACTCTTGTCTGAGTTTGGTGAGTTCAAGCAAGGAGCAGAAGAAACGGTGACTCAAACGTTCGATCGCTTCAATCATCTTCTTAGCAAGATGATCAAACATGACATCGAAAGGAAGCTTATTGAACAGAAGGTTACGTTTTTGAACGGACTCAGATCTGAGTGGAGAGCAGTCGTGTCCACAGTTAAAGCGCACGAGCAATTCAAATCCTATTCTTTGGCAAAACTGGTGGGCATCCTAAAATCTCAAGAAAAGATCGTATTACAAGAGAAAAATGTGGTTTCAGGTCTTGGTTCATTGGCCCTCCTGTCGAAAAGCAAAGCGGTGATAGAGGACGAAGATCTCAACTTGGATGATTATGATCTCACGTCTGAGGACTATGCTATGATGGTGTCAAACCCCAAAAGATTCATCAAGAAGAGATTCCCCACTAACAGAAACTGAAACTGGCAAGGGAGTTATAGCTCTGAAAAGGTCAAAGATGAACCGAAGGCTGCAGAGTCAAAGAAGGAACCGAAGGCTGAAGGAGATTCTGGAGTGAGCTGCTTTTATTGTGGAGGAAAGAACCACTACGCAAAAGATTGCATCCTCAAAGAGATGGTAGAAAAGGATGAGGAAAATGATGAAGAATTCGTGTTGATGAAAAAGCTTGATGAATTAAGGATGAAGAAATCTACTGCTAACCCACCTATGAATGCTTTAATTGTGCAGGGTTCGGTAGCTGATGATGAGTTCGGTGGCGTGGAGGTCTGGTCAACCGACTCCGAATATGATGAAGTGAGGAAGCCTTCACATGGAAAGGCTTATGTAGCGAAAGAAGAGAGTAGTGGAGGAAGATGCTTGATGGTGTCCGATGTATCTCGGATGAGGGGATACAACACTGATGGTGGGAATGATGACAAAAAGGAACAACAGAATCTGTGCTTTACTGCCAAACCACTCAGCGTGCAGTTCAACGAACTTGATGAATTGATCAAGAAGGTACAATCAGTTTTTGTCTCATTTAAAGTCCCACAATGCTCATATGAAAAGGAATTAAAAAGTGTTAATTCATGAATCTCTCATCTAGATAGTAGTTTAACTCAAACTCAGGTCACCAATTCTAACCTAACTGACCAATTAAGCAGGGTGTCTTCGAAGAGTGAGGAACGGCAGATGTGGATCGAACTGAAGGAGTCGGAGTTAATCAAAATAAAAGATGAAAACATTTATTTGCAAAGAGACAATTTAAAGCTTTTGAAACAGTGAAATGTTTTTTGTTTGATTGCCAAACGTCTTTATACAAATATTACTCAGCTTCATTTGAATTGTGAAATAGGGCAAAAGATTCATCGCATGATTTTACCCTTCCTTGAGTTTAAGGAAGATGAAATTGATGCTGAAGCATATAATTGTGAGAGTGTTATTTTGTCTGAGGATGTTAATCCAACATATCTGTATGGACTGGACAAAATAGAATCTTTCATTAAATCCAAGTACCACAAGAACATGCTCAAAAACCTTTTGGATGAAAATGATAAATTGAAGCTAAGAACCAAAACCATACAAAAATTTGACTCATTGAATGTCAACTTAAGCTCAGAAAATAAAATTGATGTTGAAAATGCATCTGAGCTTAATGAGGATGATAATATGAGTGAAATTTCTGTAGAGGACACGATTGATTGTTCGGAATTTGTCAAGAACGAACCCGAGAACCACAAAAATCTCATTTCAGAAAACTCTGTGGAGTTCGCTCGGATGTCCCAACAAAAGTCCCCGATCCTTGTAGAGAAGGCAGTCGTATACCAAAAAGTTATAACCACTCCAAATCAGGTGTACAAGGTCACAGGTGTAACCGAACATCAGACTGCTGAACTCACAGCTATTGTGAACGAAGACGATGCTGATGGTTGTGACGAGTTCTTCTGGTCAGCTCCCATTGACAATGCTGATGAAACGGTAGGTATGTCTAAAAGGACTTCATGGAAAAGCAAAGGCAGATACGTACCAGAACCTTTGAATAAACCTGATAGCTTCAACGTGGCAAGTACCAGTGGAACAAAAGATGTCCCTCAAGAGAAAGAAATTCCTACAGAAGAAGTCACATCCCCAAGTGAAACTTCATCCGTTCAGAGTGGATCAGCCAAGGAAAACCAAAAACATAAAGCTAACATCCATCATCAACCAAAGCATATGAGAAATCAAAAACGAGAAAGGAATCAGAGATACAGGAAGAATCTCTCAGAAAGAAAACAATTTTGGCAATCGCAAAATGCCTATTTCTCACATCAAGAAAGGAATTTAAAACCAGAGAAAAATCCTGTTGGATTGACAGAGAGCAATAACAACCGAAAGCAGAGGTTCGGTTCAGAGCACAATGACAACCGAAAGTAGAGGCTCGGTTTTGAGCAAAACAACAACCGAAAGCAGAGGTTCGGTTCAGAGCACAATGACAACCGAAAGCAGAGGTTCGGTTTAGAG